TATCAAATTTATTCTCCCCATACTAATAAAGATTAGAAGTATCAATACTGGGTTTGATTTGTTCTTTCCAGCTCACTGAAGTAACTGAAAGCCTGACTCACGTCTCATCTGAATATGGCAAGCTACTGGCAGAAAAAGAACAAATTGAAAGAACAATGAATGAGCAAGTTTGTCAGCAGCTTGAGAAAATCACTGTACTTAATAAGGAGAAAGATGAGCTACAGCAAATGGTGGAGGCTTGTAAAGAAAGGGAAGAACATTTGTTAAAGGTTCAGAGACGGTCAGAGATTTTGGAGGAAAGGCTTACAAGCAAGGTGAAGAGTTTTGGGGTTTAGTAGCTATTTTGTCTTCTGATGTTTGATTACTGGTGTGTTGAACTTTTGCTCAACGCAAAGCCTGTTAAATTTTAAATCTCAGCATGTCATTTTTATGTATTGCTCAAGAATCATGAACATGGGCAAAGGGTTTTGTTCAAGTTTCTCTACTGATATTTAGAAGTATCATCCTTAACTTGTCTCAGCTTTGTAACCAATTGGGTTTGTCAGTGCTTTGGAATAAGTGCCAATTTAGCAAATGTGTGTAGGTTTAATATAATGATCGGTAATTGGACATGTATTTTGACTTGAAAAGGCACTGTGTAGACAGCGTGAACCTAAGTGGGTTTGGAATTCTTAGTCCTTTACAGCTTTTCTGAAAAACAGTCTTGATTTTGGAGCTTTTCTGGTTTGGTCCGAGTGGTTTGATGTTAAAAATACTGTAGGAAGGTAAATCAAGCAAATGTTTTGCATTTAATTTTGATTTGGGATTGATGGAACTGCTGTCCTTGCTTATTTTTTTATAGATCTCACAAATGACAGAAGAAATTAAAATCATCACCTCAGAGAGAGATCAGCTTGCTGAGCTAAAATCAGAAAGCCGTAGCTGTAAAGAAAGTGATCAGCTTCAGGAGCAAAAGGAACAAATCATTTTCCTTACACAAGAGAACCGCTCCCTGCAAGAGAAGCTGGACAGTTTACTTTTGAAAAAAGAAGAGTTTGGGGAAGGAACTTGGGTAATTATGCTGAGGCTGTAATGGAGAGCATGTTATTTAGGCTTTCACCTCAGTGAAATAATTTGCAAAACACACTGGAGAAAAGGGTCCTGGTCTGTGACTGTCCAACGTTTTACACAAGGGGTTTATTATTGTTTACTTGTGATTTATCCCAGCCCTATTGTTGTATATGGACAGGTGGGAGTAGAATATCCCTGTGAATAGAGTATTAACTTGATAGAGGTTGATGATGTTGTGCACTGATCTGCACAGGGATGGGGATATATAATTTAGTATCAGAAGCTAAAAACTGCTTGTCTGAATGGGTGGTTCTGCTTTCTAAAGCTTATGTGGAACTGACAATTTTCCTGGCACTGAAAGGGACATTGCAACCAACACTTCATGTAACTAGGTGTGCTGATTGCACCTGTGTCTGTAGGTAAATAGAGACTGATAGATAGACAGACTTCCAAAAAAAAAAAAGTAAAGTGTGTGCATCCATTTTCATATGGAAGGGGGAGAGGACAAATTTGAAGTAAATAATGGTCCTGACACCATTGTCAACCTCTGTCGAGACTAGAAATATAGACAAAGTCTTCAGCTTTGGGAGGGGAAAGGATTTGTTGGGTGTTTTTGTTTTCATCATTGATGTTGTTACCCCCACACTTAAATGATGACAATGAAATTCTGCTTCTAGTAACTTGTTTCAGAAGTCCTTGCTTCAAATTTTACTTGTCTCTTATGTCAAAAAACTTGAACTGCATACTGAGTTCCGTCAGATTTTATTATTCTAGAAAAGCCGCAGATGTCTCTAAGACAGGGCCTTTATTTTAACATACTCCACATGTTAAAGCTCAGATATGCTTCTCTTAAAGCTACTTTTCTAAAAGTGTTGATTTCTGTCTTTGCATAAAACAGGTACCCCAGATCCCAGAAAAATCTCTGGAGCAAGAGTTACTTGTTCTGAGGGAAGAGCTCAGCCAGGCACAAAGGAAATTGCATGAAATGGAGGAAGGGAAGGGCAGTGAATGCCAGGGAGAACCTGAAGAAACGGGGAGAAGAGATTTTATTCCACAACTGCATGACTGGCAGGAAGTGAGTACCCAGACAGAAAGAGAAGACAATGACCTAAAACTGCAACTGGAAAATCTCCAGAACGAGAGAGACCAGCTAAGAGAAACTGTACAGGAGACAATAAGAAAGGTAATAAAATTAGTCCTATTCCTGTAGGATAAGAGCTTTAGTAAACTTGTGCCTTAGATTTTGGAAGTGCTGTTCAGGTGTTAATGTATTTCAATTGTGTCCAAAGAATTCAGAGATGCAGGAGGAGTTGCAGTGTACTCACAGATCTCTTGAACAACATCAGGAGACTATTGTGGAGCTGAAAGGGAACATTTCAGAGAAAGAAAATCAACTCTTGAAAGCTCAGGAGGCATTGAAGGAAAAAACTGATGAACTGCAGCAGAAGGTCAGAAAGAGTTTTGTCAAATATATTCAAAATTTCATAACATGTGGCAACCCATGTCTTCTGCAGACTTCAGTTTGCAGGGGTCCAATAAATGAAACTTAGTTGATAGGTTTTCCTTTCTTTTTTGCTCTTTACTGCTTCTCAAAAGAATTCCATGAAAACAGAGACAGTGAAAGGATGATCCAATGCAATTTGACCTGCAACCTACCACCCTTTTTTATAACTAAATATGTCTTAGCGCTGAATGGCAGAATATCATTTTGAATCAGTACTGCCCTTTGGCCTTAATGCATTTTCCCAGTCTTAAGTTTTTTTAAATTTTAGTAATGTATTTTATCTCTGTAGCTCTAAAGATCCTTGAGCAACTTCAAGGCACTTTAGCTCATGCTTGAGTGGTTGCACTTTTAGAAATGTCTTATCTACTTATTATTTTCCTATCCTAAGCTTTTTTGCTTTTAGTGTTCATTCTTACATTTGGTAATCTTTTCTATTTCGTGTGGATACGGCAATGGAGGTGCTTCTCTGGAATTAGAATGGCCTGTAGGATTTTCCACATTCACTTTTGACTACCAGTGAGAGAGAAGCACTGAAATTTTATAGACTTCTAACAAAACCGTTAGATTCTTTTTGCTTATTATAGCAGGAAATCTATGGGCATATCTTCTTTAAAATAATCCAGTTACAACAACTCGTATGTTCCAATAATGTTTATGAAATATAACCCAGTAACTCTCTCCTTATATCAGAACCCAACTGGTGGGACAAGAAACTTTAGTAACTTGGAATGTTGCTTTTA